TGCTAATGAACAGCTTCTTCTTTCTCTTGAAGGTTTTCTTTTTAGGCTTCTCTTTTTTTTATCGCTCCATTTAATCAACCCTCTGGTTTGTTATTTCCCTATCTTAACCAAGCTACCAACTTTACTCAAGTCAATGTCTTATTTGCTCAAGAAGTGTAGGCTTCTTTCCAAGATTTCTTCTCTTGTTCTAAAGAGCTTAACACAGAAAAGATCAATATAGTTTTACTCTGATTGAAAGGTCAGGATCATGAGAATAAGTCTCATTATCTTAAAAGTTCTAGGCATACCTTTCTATAATAAATAACTACATGTCAAGTCAGTCAAATGTGAGAAAAGGTTGTAAAAGAAGAAAATTTAACTGGCAGTACCGATTACATAAGGACTTGCTTTGCTGAGGGCCTAGACTGCTAACCAGTATGTCAGAAGTATGCAGTTATGAGCAACTCTATCTTGAATATCTGACAATATCACCATTTCACTTATCACTTAAAAAGAATAATTACGGGACTGTCTTCTTGTTTTACCCAGCTCCCAAATTTTTTATAACAAAAACCATGAGTAGCTTATCCCTATCAAAAGATCAGCGTAAGCCAATCATGTCATATTGGTATCTGGGTCACCAATATGGACAGGATTGGTGACCCTTAATTACACTATCTTTAGCCACATGGTTATATGGGTCCAGGCCACAATCCAAAACCCAAGCACCACACCACCCTTCACCATCACCACTTATAGAGCACATATGCAGGGTTTATGATATAACTAACAGCTAGCTATTTTTACTTTTTTTTCCTTTCTCCTACTTGGGTTCTCAAAGGTTCATATATGTCAACTTTATTTGTATTAGGCTAGGAGTAATCTACTTACTTTGTATGTTAGAGATTCTTAATGTAATAACATAAAAACGAAAGTTTAATAAATGTTTCACATTTAATGCCTTTTGCAAAAAAAAAAAAAAAAGTAAAGTTTTTCAGTCAATATCAATTTCATATTATTATAAATAAACTATTTACTATCATTATGCAAATCAAAACTTTTCTTAGCAACAAACTCACCAATTGTCTGTTATAATTTAATGATAATTGTAAGATTTGACATATTATTACCCCTCTAATATTTTTATATGAACACCTATTTTGACATTTTCATATAACAAGAAAGCTAACTATTAAAATCTGGAACTCCAAATTAGTTAAAAAAGTGCAAATATTATTCAACTTATCTGTATAATACTGTTAATAAATTTAAAAATGGTAATATATGTTCAAATTGGTGGCAACATATCTATCAGACTTTTTCAGTAGCTAGATAACTTATAAGAACTAGTATATATCCATAATAATACAAAAAGTCTAAAAGTTGGAGTGTCAGAGAAAAAAAAAAAAGTCAACTATACTAAATTGACTTTCTTTGAGGGTAAAGCCAAAACAGATTCACAATTATAGTTGAAATATTATAAAAAGGCTACCAAATTTAATAGTTGGCCAAATAAATAGAAACTAGAAAAAATAGACAATTATCTGGGAGGAACTGTTAAAAAATAGTATAAAGAAAATTGGAATCAGTTTATTTATTAAAACAAGAGTAATAACAAAAGCAAATTTGTGCTAACCTTTCTGTAACATTTCATATTACTTAAGCAATAGTATCAATAGCAGTTGAAATTAAAGAATTTTGAGTAGAGAAGACTGAAGCAGTAACCGAGTACATCTAAAGGTTTAGAAAGTTATACAAAAAACTTTAAGTTAAGAATGACGATTTTAAAGAAGTGGCAGGATGGTTGCTTATATTCAAACTAAGGAATGATATACTGTCATTGTCTGTTATTAAAAATGCCACTACATCAGAAAGAGTACTCAGAACAGCAGTGGAAAATGAAAAACAAGCAAGTAAGACAGAAAAACAAGTGGTAAAAAAACTCAGCAAACCTTTTGTTCTTGTTAAAAGAAGTGTAAATAGATTGAAATGTCAACAAAGAAAAAACAAAATTATAGAGACTGTGATACTGAGAACTGTTTAAAAAAGGACAACCTTCTTTTAAAATCATCTGCAAATGAAACATAATATAAGAAGGACAAAGAAAAACTGAAATATTCAACTAAAAGCTTATATACTGTGAAGGACAAGATGCTGACTCCAAAGAATGACAATCATTGTGACAAAGAAAAGATGCTTTCTGACTTGTGAGATAGAAACAAGCATTCAAAAGAAACTATAGACAACAATCAAAGTAAGAAAATCCTAGGAGAAGAACATATTAATAAAAAGATACTAGCAGAATTATCAAATGAAATCTTAAGACTCACCTGTCATGAAACCAAATGATTATCAATAATAAGATGAAGAAGAAAATATAAAATACCAAAGACAATAATAAATAAGTACCAAGAGAAAATGCTGAATAACTATTTCAGCAAAATTAAAAAGAAGAGCAATGACAATAAAGCTCTAGCAATCAAGGATAATATGAGAAGCAAAAATGTAAATAAAACTACAGAACTTATCAGTAATGAAATCCTAATGAATAAGAACAGTAAATTGTCAAATAAAGGAAGTAACAATGTAAAGAAAATAATAAGTGTATCAAAAGAAAGTAATAAATTAGCTACACAAAGCTTAAAACTTCACCAAG